AGTCATTGTTTCTTTTTGTGATAAAAAATTTGGGTCCCTTCCCAAATTTTTGATTGCATCTGTTAGGGTTTAGGGAAAAGGGAATTTAAGCTTGCTTTGATTGAGATCTTAACTTAGGAAGAATTAATTTAAATCAAATCCAATTGAAAATTTAATTAGATCTAATTTAAGTAACTATGAGCCTGGACGCTTCATGCGGTTGATGAGTGCTACATTGCCCTCACCTAGGGACTTCAAACCACGAGCCCGGACACTTCTTGCGGCTGGTGGGTATTTCGTTGCCCTTACATAGGGACTTCCACTCTCCTATGATCTCCCATAGCTCTCAAGAACAAATTTCAGAAAATTTTCTTCTTAATAATCCATTGATCATTACAAGAAAGGAGGAGACTATAAATAGCCCAAAATACAGAACAAAAGAAAAAAGTACCCCTTGGGGTCACAAGCACCTACTCGTTCAAGTGAGGGTAAACATGGAAAATACATAAATAAATAAAAATACAAATAGTAACTTAAAATAAAATGGTGCGATCATGACTGTCAATCTTCATCTTCTCCTCTGATAAGCTTTCATGGTCGGATGTCTGCATCACATTGAGTCTCTCTTAAAGTATAGTCATGGGTCTCATTCAATTACTGATTACCTTAATTAGTTTGAGGAACTTGTTTCATGGTGTAGGATTTCTGAGGATAAAGCTTTATAGGGCCTTTATCTTAACTTAAAATTAGAAGTGTGATTATATAATGCTGATAATGATGAAGATGAATACCACAAGGCTTTTGAATTAGAAAAATATTGAAAGTTTTTGTTACACACCTTTTCAACCTAGACTAGTAGAATGTTAGCCATTTTAACTCTAGTTGAAAACACTCGATTCTAGACTAAATCAACCGTTATTCCATTCTTATCAAATGGCAGTTTATTTCGTAAATGTCACGATATAGAATGAGTGAATATTCCTCTTAAAGGAACATATATTTCGACAACCACTTGCTTCAAATGCTGCCTCATGGTTCACCATCATGTAATTACCTCATATTAATCTTTTGATGGAAAGTGTTTTTAAAGTCTAATGAGTCAGAAGAAGGTGTCTAAGGATGCGATTGATGATGATAACTAATGAGGATATCCATGATCAAGTGTGGTAGCTTGCTGTATTATGCATTCTCCTAACCCTAGCCACTTCTGAGGATTTGAGGACAGGAAACATATTATCTTTTTCCTAATGCATGCAACTTGAATTGAAAAGAGATGCAAATTAGTTGTTGATTGTAGGTGCTATGAATGTTTCCTAAAAACAGCTTTCCTTATAGTTGGCTTAAAAGCGAAAGCATGTCCTTCTTCTTTCCTCTAAAGTAGACATCCCTACTTGTTTTTAAGGGTTTCCTAGTTTCTAACCTATTGGAAATACAAGACTTGGTGTGATGTCCTCTCCATGGATATTCATAATATTAAGCTAGATTGCTAATGGGTTTATGACATGAATGTTTTTCATTATTTGCAAGAAAAGTTGTACTGCTTTTAAATTCAATGATTCCTTTTTTCTTTTATTTTCTTTTAAGATTTTCGAGTCTTCTTCTCCACAATCCCAAACTTACATTAATGAAGCCCCTAAGAATAGACTATAACTTTTGCTTACTATTCCATTAACTTTTGCTTACTATTCCATTAACTGTCCTGACTCAGCTAAACCATTTGAGATTTGAGTTGAGGTATGCATTGCTTCAACCTTATTGCAATCGACTCCTAGTTCGCTATTTTTGTTTGAAAGGCCTTCTAATTGTTTCTTTGTTTCTTTGCATTATTTTTATTGTTCACATGAATTTTTTACTCTTATTCCTGAAGTTTTGCGCTTGCTATGGTTATAAGCATTCTATCAAAATTTCAGGATATTACTCCAGGTGAATCACTTAATAAGCGTCCTCTCATGATGGATATTCAATACACCGTTGATTTTATTTCGGGGTTTATTTTTATAACGAAAGAATGCATGCCACAAGGAATGATGAGCTCAAACGTCATGTAGATGGACTAGTTTCGAAAGGATTATCATTATAGAATGCACACCGCAAATATGTATTTTTTGTTCTAATGTTGTATTTCCCAGCTTTTTTAGTGTCTTCCATGTGAATTGAACTCTTATCTTGAAACTGAAAACAGTCGTTGATTGCCCAATCCTTGTTTCTTTCTCTGATATTGGACTTTAGTGGATTATATACATTTTATAGATTTTTCATTTGGAATTTTTGTATTATTACTGCCCCTTTAATGAATCTTTTGAAAAAAAAAAATGAATTTATTTCGTTTCCTTTTGTTACTAAAGCTTTTGAACAAATCAAGGTATTTATCATATGTTCTGGAACTCCATGATCTCAGGAAAATTCTTGAGGTATACTATGATGCCTCAGATGGTCAGATGTTGGTATATATGCCAATTTTAGCCAAGTGGGTCCCCAATTGCCTATTTTAGTGAATAGTTGAGTAATGCTTAACAAAATTATTCTACCTCCGACATAATAATTTTTTTTTTGCTTCTATTAAAAAATTATGATACTGGTGACACATTATTTTGTACTAATGGAATTCATTTTCTTTCAGTTCATATTGCTTAAAAATATAAATACTAAAAAAATTGTGGAATATATTTGTTACATGCATCAAATACTTTTAAATATATGGCCTGAGTTTTGTAACATGCGCACGTTATTCAAAATAAGTTACTGGGTACCAAATCTCAAGTTTTTACTCTTAACATGTATGATTGTTAATATTCTTGGCTTTTATAGAATACTAAATGTGGATGAAATGATTATAAGGATTTTATATGTTCTTTTTACTATTTTATATTTTGAGATGGATATTTATTTGTAGGTGGTTTGCTTTGCATTCACATTACCTTTAGTCGTGATCCTATTATTTGAGAAATGTTTGTTGGTGGCATGGAACATCACTTTGGTTGGTATTAAATTTTTAGTTAGTTGAATGTAGGTTTTATTTCTCTTCATTTTTGAGAAGAAACTATAAATGTCAGTCATTGCTGTACTTGCAATGAAGAAAATATTGCTAAACAACGGGTTGGCATTTACACTTCTCTACCTGTACCTTTGATTACGTGCGGTGATCTTTCTACGAACTTTTTATTAGGATTTCCTAAAACAGTTCATGTCCATGATAATATAAATGTAGTCAATAAATAATTATCTAGAATAGTTTGCTTCATTCAATGCTTCAAGGTTATTGATTCTTCTTATTTTAAAGAAATTATGTAGGGAAATGTTTTTTTACATTGGTTAAATGAGTTTCATATTATATAGTAAAGTTTTTTTTTCTCATTGCTGAAAAACATTATGCAAATTCTTTGGTACTGCATTTAAGTTTTCATTTATTTTCACCCTTAAATAGTTAATTAAACTGAGTTTGTAAATGGAAGTCTTGGATATCTAGTAAAATGTTTTGTTAGAAAAAAGAGTTGGTAATTGTGTTCTACATCTTTTTACAATTGAGTTTTCTTGCAAGTTGCAATAGTATTTATACAAACCTATCACGAAGCCTTCATTTGAAATTGTTCAGGGATTGAATCTTAGAAAACCTATAGTATTGTGCTTTTATGACTAAATGCATATTTTGATTTTGTTGCATCTTTTGCATGACATTTACTTGATTACCTTATGGATTTGAAGAGAATTGAATTGCATAATAAGAAATATTCATTCTATAAATATTAAGAGAAGTGCTTGTGATTACGATGAAGGTGATTTTATCTTTATTCATATATATTCCAAATGCTTTGTACAAGCCAAATTTAAGAAACTACATGCAAACACGAGTAGTCCTTTCGAAGTTAGTGAAAAAATCGGTTCTAATGCTACCTATACTTAGATTTATATTCTGATATGCTTATTCGTCCTATTTTGAACAATGGAGATATATTATGTTATTGAGGAATGTTCAAACGTTGTGAATTTCTTGTTTATCCTTATATTCGAGTGATATCTACTATAGCTATTGCATCAATGGACCCCTTCATTTTTGTTGCTAGCCGTTTTCTTGGATGTTGAAAGTATCATTCTAAATTAACTGATAATTGAGAAAACTGTTGAGCACCAGTTTGTGGTAAGTTGGAAAGGCAATCTTCTTAAGGTCCTACCTCGACGGCCAAGTAGGAATTGCAAAAGCTTGTTCCTGAAGTTTTCGATGACTACATTTGTCCTAGCTCTCCATTAGAGTGTTTTTTGTGCCCTAGGAAAGTTGATTTAGTGTAAGATTTACAATAGCCCACCTAACATAAGTCAAACTAAGTTAAAATATTTGAATTAGATCCATTTTCATACCTTTTGTAAGCCTATTTATGGTTATATTTGATTTTTTTTTTAATTTTTTAAAATTGAATTATTTTATCAGGTGTTATTTCTCTTGTGGATTAATATACTTAAATTTAAATTATGCTGGATTTGATAGGATTTAATTGTATTTAAATGTTTGGTCTTATCTTTGTACCCCTAATTCTATGATTAGCATTTGGAATTATTAATAATATAAATGAATGAAATTATTTGTGGCCAATTATATGTTTTATAAAATCCAAGTTGCGTATGTGGATTGCTCTAATTGCATCTGCAGATTTTGTTATTTCCTTGGGTGAAGGTATATTGTTTATACAAATGTCATATTGATCTCTTGTCGGATAGCAAATAAGGGATGACATATAGCTTTGTAAAAGTTGCCATATTGTTTTTGCAAAATGGTTTGCAGACCAAAATCTAGTTACAACGTTCATACTCTTGGATCATTAGCTTTTTTTAGGATATGATGGAATTCAATGCTTTATAATTGATTGTGTTAGTTTTTGATAATAAAATTTTATTTTAGCAGCCTTTTATCTCCACCTCCATAACAACATATTCTGCTTTAAATATTCATGTCTTAAATGTTATTGAAGTCTACTTGTTTGTACATGTCCATAACTTTTTTTTTTAAGCCATCCTAATTCTAATTTCAGGTACAAGAGCTGTTTGTCCCCAGTTCTGAAGCGCAATTATTTATTCGATATTGCTGCCCTTGGCTCCTTCCTCCCCTAGTTCTTAGGGGAGATGTGCCAAATCTGGAATGGCTTGCTAAGGTAAATTCTGAAATAGCTCCTTGATTCCATCTCACTGCTTCACTAGGAAATTTGAATGTCTATGAAATTATGCCGTGTGATTTGCATGGAGATAGAAGTTGAAATAATTTTCACAAATTTACATATTAGATGGGAGAGTTTATCTTTCTTGATTACTCTAATGATTGTTATTTCAACATTTTAAAACATATGCAGGCAACAAGTCTGCCTTTGCCCCTGCTTGCCAAAGAATATTTTGTGCCAATTTTTGCTATGAGCATGGCAGTTTATTGTAATGGAAGGCCTGATAAGGATATTAGCCGGAGGACCCTCTGTGATTCAATCTTAAATATTGCTAAAATTTCTGAGTTCGAAAGAGATGACCTTATAAAGAGAAATATGGCAAGTACTAGTTGTTTAATGGTTTCATGGCCCCCAAATTTCTTATTTGTTTTCATGTTATGGTTGTTCTAGAAAATTTGAATGTTTGTGAATTACTAATTTCTCAACATGCTTATTATTCTTGTTTTATTAACCAAAGTAGGCTACAAGGATCGGGGCAAAGATGTAGTGCTGTCTTTTATGTAAACTTGCATAATTCTTCTCGACTGATATTAATGCCAGAGTTAATATTGTAAAATTTATTAGTGCAACCATCATATGCTTTGTTAATCATTTCGAGTTTGTATAGTAGGTCATTTTGTGCATAAAGAGATTGAATGGATGGGTATTTATATAATATAAGTATAATATAAAATAATTAAAGTTAATAGAAATATCTATTTAATCTACTTGCTAAAAAAGTTTCCGAGGATCGAGTAATATTTGTATGTGAAAAATTGATGATAAAATTTTAGTTATATTATCCCAGTTTTATTGTATAAAATGTGAAGTTGATGTTATTCAACACTCATCATTACAAATTATTATGACCTCTAGCATATGTATTTATATATTCCTGTGTGTGATAGCTGTTAAGATTCTTGGAAGATGTTACCAAAGTATTGGATTCGATTCAGGGTTTCATCATTTGATAAATTCTAGGTTTATTAGATGTTTTCAATCTAATAGAAATTACGGGGCATGGATGTTGTTTTCAATTCCCATCTTTCTTCTTGGTTTAATAGTTTCCTTACCATTTTCCTTGCCTTTTGTAAATTAATAATTGCTTAATTATTTTAGGCGAAGTTGTGTTGGACATGCAATTTTTAAACTTAATTCAATGAAGTGCTTGAAATAGATTATTATCAAGATCTTAAGATGGCATGATGCAATTATAACCCTTCTTTCAATATTGAGACGGGTATAAATAGATTAGTTGTCCTCCTTACCTATAGGCCCCTACCCTAAATTACTAAACGGCCGGATGAAGGTAGGAAAAGAAAAAACTTATTACGAAACGGACTGCTAAAGGCTAAATGAAATTTATAACTATGTCTGTGCAAACTCTCTGTTCTGATTATTATAACATGCATTGACAACGAAAGACAATTTTTCCTTCAAAATGGGTTTCAGTAAGGGAATATCTCTATTTTGTTTGGTTATTTTATGTTACTTGCTACATTTTTATTTGTCCAACTACATATATCTTGCTACATTTTTATTTGTATATATATATATATATAATTATGATAATGGAACTTGCTACATTTTTATTTGTCCAACTATCTGATATATAATTATGATAATGGATGCCGGTGATAACTTAAAACTTATTTCTGTTTATTGGCTGGAGAAAAACATACCTTTGTGCAAGTTAGCAAATTTAATTCTGCCCATACAATTATTATTGTAATTAATTTATTCTCTTAGTTATGAAGAAGTAGTTGTTTTAGATGATTATCTTGTTATTATTTTTCTGGCTATGATGTGATGACCTTTAATTTGTTTGTATTATCCTTGTTTTAATTTTGTTTATCGTCTTGTTCTTGGCAGGTGTCAATTGTAGGCTTTCTTCTTTCTCTAGCCAGTTCTTCCACTGACCCAGATACACCATTTTTTCGCAATGAAACGATTATAGTCTCTGTTCAAACTGTTGTTGATGGCTTTTTTGAAATGTAAGTATCATCCTACCTAACTATCATTTTTTAACCCGCTATTTTGTGTTGATTTGTAGATTTTCTTTATTTATATAGAAACGACCATCCTGGACATGTTTGTGTGGTGGACAAAATCAATATTTTTCGTCCCGATAGAGTATTTAAGGTAATATCCCATTATAAATTAAAAAGAGGTGTAATAACTTCCTTTATGTGGTTTACCTAAGATTTATTTTTAAATTGCAGTTTTTATTAGAGATGCATTACCAAATTTCAACAGCTATTCATCCTCGTCATAAATGTCGCAGTCTGTCATCAATAGATGTTCTTATTCGTATAATTGGACATCGAGCTAGTATTAGTAGCACTTCCAAGTAAGTGTATTTTTTTAATTGAAAGAATGATCATTGCTTAGAAAGTGTGCTTATTAGTGAGAAAAAAATTTGCTAGTTGTGGTATATTCTCTTTTCTGACTTACAAAATGTTCTTATTAATTTTTATTACTTGTGATTCATTCACATATCACACACAATATACCAAAATGTAGTTAGTTGTTGGTATGGAAGAAAAGTTACAAACTTGTAAGTGAATCTTAATCTATTCAACTTTCAACTGCTTTATGTGAGGGTTCGGGGTTTATTCAAAATATTTAAATAGGTTTGATATGAGATTTTTTTATTTCTTAGAGGCAGGTAATCGGGTTAAATACATTTACCACCAACACGTCTCCTGATTTTACTAATCAAATTAGAATCAAGTGAGTAAAAAATCAATCTATCTAGATCATCTCAAAATAAACCTGATTTTTTGATAAATTCATCATATTGATTGATAAGAAAACGTTCATAATTTATTTCATTAAATAGAATACAAAGGTTCTCTTATTTCACAAAAAATTTATGCGAGAGGTCATTAATTTACAGAATGATCATGCTTTTTCATATTACATTTAAAATTGGACATCCATCCATAAATTGATGTACCGTATAAATTGAGTCACCTGCTTGTCGTCCCATATGCTCTATTTTCATTTATGGAAAAATGGTCATTGTAATATCTGATAAGTCAAATGCTTAATGGGGTGAACAATTCAATTATAAAGCTCAAACGTAAAAAAATAAAATAAAATATGTATACCGGTCTTTTGAACTAATACTAGCATTTTGATAATAGATATAGCTATCTTAGTGTAAGGATAAATTTAAATGAATGACTTGCTTTGATACTTAACTAAATAAAAGACTTAATTTAAGGAGTATAAATGATGTAATACATGTTTGGAGTTACACAAGATTATCAAGAGAATTTAATAGAAGTTAACCTTTATAAAATTATGCGTCAATTCAAAGTAAGTTGTAGAAATTCGTGGTCTTCCACTTGCTTAGGCAAAGAATTGCGTGAAGAATAACCAAGACACTCTCAATCAAATACAAAGGCGAAGTAATGTAAAAGCTTCTAACACAAATCCAAAAGTTAATAATGAGATGTTCACCTTGAAGTTCTACTCTCTCTCTACGGATCTAGGTTGAGCGGAGGAAGATCTTCCACACTAGAAATGAAGTGACCACTACGAAGGACGAGCCGAGGAACGTCGTTGTTGGGAAGGTAGCCGGAGTTGGAGGTGGCACGGAGCGTCCAATGAGGGACCACGGGGTCCTTGGTTGTTGAAGATCAATTGTCCCGACAAGGCAATACACGATCCGGTTGACGTAGCGTTCAACGGTGACGTCGAACTCCCAATCCGGTTCGTAGAAGGGGGGGTGGAAGATGTCAATCTCTCCTTGTTCGTTGTAGGCGAAGCTGTGATCAACTTCCAGATCGGCCATGCACGGTAATCATGGGGGATGAAGGACCACGAGGTGGAAGATCAAAGAGAGAAGGGTGGAGAGGGGAGGCCGGCGGCTGGACTAGAAGGGGGAGGGTGGGGGACGGTTTGGAGAGGTGGGGAGGGGGCTACGGTTTGGGAGAAATTAGGTTAGGATGGGGTGTTGATGTGGTTTAATCAAAATCTGAAATTAAGATCAGATTTTTATTAAATTGGGAGGGAAAACTTTTAAAATTTGATTCCAATTTGAGTGCAATTAAGGCATTAATGGAGGCTTAATGGGGTGGAGCCAAAGAGGGGCCGACGGTATGGAGAGAGAGGGGTGAGGGGGTTTAAAATTGAAATTAGTTTCAGTTTTAGTGAGATTGGGGGGAAAATATTTGAAATCAATTTTGGATTTCAAATAAGGGTGAGGGAGTAATTGAGCAATTAAAGGGGGAGCCCAATATAGGGGCCGGTGGCATCATGAAGGAGGGAGGGGATATGGGAGAAGGTGGGGATGTTTCTTAATAAGCAATGAATATTATGAAAGAATAAAATAAATTACTTTGATTTATTTTGAAATTGGATATCAAATAATAGCAAGGGTACAAACAGTAATATCAAATAATACATAATATCAAAATAGAACTAAGCATCAAAATAAAGACTGTGAATCGTGGCCATCGATCTGTGCCTCCTTCCCTGATATACTCGTTGAAAATGTCTGTCGATGTCCTCATCAATAAATATTTGAAAGAAAACAATGTAAATCTGTCATCCTTTGAATCTTTTGAGCATTCTCTATTTGTCAATTACTTGAATGAAATTATTCGCCCACTTTCATATTCATTTTCATTCTTGATGATTAAATTCCTAGAATATTCATTTAATGTTTGAGGAAATGCGCCAAATAGTTCCACGACTATTAGGAAGTTCCCAATTTAGTCCCAGAGATTTGCACTGGTCCAATTTACTATCCTGACTTTTGAAAATTGATTTAAATTGGTCTCAGGGCTGAAAGTAAATGTTAAAGTTACCACTAAAGTTTAATATAAAGGTATTCTAGGTTGTTTTGAGTGTATCTAAGATTATATTTCTTATGTTATTCTATTTTGTTTTTAATAAATTATAATAAATGGAAAATTGAGTATGAAATACGAAATACTAAATAATAGGAGTGAAAAATTAGGAAAATAATAATTTTTTATGCAAAACCTAAATGGAAAATCATACAAAAATAAAACTCTTATTTCAAAAATTATTTTCATTGATTACAAATTCCAGAATTTGTATTATAAAAATGGTGTCACTGATTGCAAAATTTAAAGACCCCTGTTACAAAAAAAAAGTCCACTAATTAAGAGTAAAAATTAAAGTTATTTACTTAAATACCCATTTCACATTAAAATAAGTAGGTCTGTAAATATTTCGTTAAATTTGATGGATTTCTAACTGTGGGGCCGAATTGGATCAATTTTTAATAGCTAAGGGATGAAGTGTGATTGTGTGAAACTCTGAGACTATATTGGGTATTTACTATAGTCGGAGAACTATTTTGAGCTTTTTCTCATAAATGTATGTAGTCTTTTGGTAAATTTATTTCATGAGCCTTAACCTGCCATTAGACTTGAATACCTATTGATAAAAAATTTGAGATATCCAACATGGCAATTATCTTGATCTAAAGATTGTACCTTGTAGTGGTAACTTTCAGTATTGAGAGTCGAGAACTCTCTTTTACTTTAAAGAAGCTCATTTTGTCCGAATTTTTGGCTTCTATGCACGTCATTATATTAGCCACCCTATCTAACATGACATGACCGTTTGTTGATTTATTTTAATTTAGTATTTTTATCATAAGCATTTAAAATTGTTTAGTATTGATATTCACCTATTAGTACTCAATCTATCCCTCAAAGGTAAATATGATTTGTAAAGGTCAATATATACATATCTAAATAAAAACTATTTTTAAATAATAAATTTTGAATTGAGTTAATTAGAAATATCTTGTATTTATTTATATAGGTGATCTTATAAAAATTCATTTGGCTTGTTAATATCATAATGCCATGCTGAATATTAATAATATCTACTTGCGTACGCACTGTTCAATAGAATTATAGAAGTTGATAAACGTTAGGCCTAGGAATAATTTACTTCTTATATTTGAGATTGAGTATCTCACTTGAACTAAAAGATCTTCAGGACAAATTTCCTTAACTCTATTGCCTAGACGCCTTGTCCTTTCATAAAAAAACTTAAAACAATTATTTTCTATATTCAGTACTAATTATTAAATTGAAACTCGAAACTAAATGAATTAACCTCAAATAGCATTTTTATCGTAAAATGACTTCTCCTCAGCTAAGCCTTCAGCTCTATGAACTTGTATCCAAACTAAATTTGCGAAAGGAATTACTAAAAATAAAAATTTTTATCTAAATTTCTCTAATCTGTTTCTGCCATTCTTTTTTTCTTCTTTTCCTTTTCTTTATCTTCTCCTATTCTGTTTTCTCATCTGCTTCTCTTCTTCTTCTTCTTCTTTCCTTTTTCTCACGTTCTTTATCATTCCTTCTCTGATTTAGCCTATTGGAGCCTCTCTTCTTTTTCCACCTATAGCTACAGGTCATGGAGCCTATTGAAGCCCCTCTTCTTATTCTGCCTCTAGCTACTGGTCATGGGAGAATATGATTAGTTTTAAATGCTTAAATGTTTAATCCATAATAGCTGTGCGAATAACCTACAATGGTAGGTCATGGACTTGTGGATAAATGCTAAAATTGCTACAGTATAATAATTATTTCTATAGTAACATTAAAATAAAAACTTAGGGAAATTATTTTAGTAAGAAATTAACTAATAATCGCTAATATGGTTATTTTATATAAAATTTTATACATCAAAGTAATCAAAATGAAATGCTTAATTTAATAAATAAAATTTTAATGATTTTCAGGATGTGCGAATAAATGAATATAATTTTTAGTATAAATTCTCAATATTGCCTTTTTAAAATATTTGGTATTACACGTTTCCCCTTATAAGAATTTCATCCTCAAAATTCCTTTCATCCATTATCATTTTGACAAATGGGAAAATTTGTATCTCATTTCTTCTTCTTTTTCCACTACTTGCTTCTTTTTTTTGAAATGTGCCTCTAATTCCATTTAACTTAGAGAATCTACCTGTTTATCAGCTTTTTAACAGCAAATTTCAATATGCTTTCAGGTTATTCAATATGAATTAAATCTTTTTTTATTTCAATTCTGTCATGTGATTTTTTATGTGCATGTGTAACCCATTTTCTCAACATGGACATATAAATGTAGATGGAACAGAAAAAAGAAAACAGGTGAGAGTAGAAAGAATAGAAAAAATAAAGATAGAACAAATATATGAACTATATTTATTTGGAGATTATGAATATTTATTTACACGTGTAGCTTTGTACTACACTTGTATTTTCTCTTGATAGCCGAGAAAAGCATGAAAATGACCCCTTGACTCTTTATGAAGGACCAAAATGCCCCTAACTATATTAAAGGACTATTTTAGTCCCACAAGTCTTTAAAGAGGAACTAAAATTGTTCGATAGCAGGAGCATTGCAGTTCATCTTTAAGGAGTTGAGGGATCAAAATAATCCTTTAATATAGTTGAGGACTATTTTGTAAAGAGTCAATGGACCATTTTGATCCTCTCCATGAAAGCCCTATTCAAGTTCCATAAAGCCTAACTTGCAAGACTTACTTTTGGAGCCCCAAGTGTTATAATTGAAAGCATGAAGTGATCTATGAAGCCATGAGGTATTGAAGAAGTATCTCTGTTAGTGTTCGCATATATGATATTAGATCAACTCCTGAGTGACTGGTTTTCCTCTCAAGCAATACCGCTTCATTTCATTTTTCTTTACCGTATTTTATTTCTTGTATACTTGTAAGAGCTTTTATTAGTATTTCTATTTTTCATTCGGATTCAAAGCATTTTCAAATTATTTTTTTCATTTATATTACTGATGGATTTGTTGACAGTTATATACTCCACATAGCTGGACAATACGTTGGTATTCTGCCACTACAGGATCATTGTTGTACCATCCTTTCTACACTTCTAGAAGTATTTACAAATGAACATACTGCCGATGCCGTAAATGTACTTGGAGAGCAACTTCAGGTTGTAGCTTTTATTAATTAGATGATGAGTTATACCCCTAGATTTTTCGGTCTCACTTATTTGAGAAGTATTTTCAGTTTCTTGTTTCAAAATTGGTGGCCTGTTGCATTCCTTATGGGAGTCTAAGCGATGGAGGTACTGTTCCTTCAACACGAGTTATAAACATTCTGTGTCAGTTAACTGTGGATGCTGACCCATCGTTGTATGATTTCATCAAGGTACGAGTTATGATAGATTTGTTATTTAAGTGAACTTTTTGGTCTGAATCAAACGATGGGCCGTCATGGTTAAAGGAATTTTGTCCTTCTGAGTTTATTTAATCAATGATGAAATTTGAAATTGTCCATTATATGATATGTCTGTAATTTGTTTTTTATTCCAAGGATCTGGAACCATTTCCTCAACTAGATTGTTTAAAAAGAATAAGGATGTTTCATGAAGATCTTTGCATAGCGTATTCTGCAAGGGACCGCTTTTTAATGGTAACTGGTTTCCTCTGTGATTTCATAGTATGAACATAAAGTTAATTATCTGTAAGCATGTTTTGCTTTTTTATAGTTCGTGCGGAGGAGTCCTTATCTCCCAAGGGAACTACTTCTATTAAGGTGTTACTTTTTTGTTCTCAAACTACATTGTGAGTTTTACTTGTTTGATTTTTTTTTTTAATCTGGTGCAAATTACTAAACAATTTTTGCCACTCTTCAGTCTAGAGAGTTTGCATAAACAATTGCTAAAAAATGAAATCATTCCACCAAATAGTGACGTAGTATATAGTACAGAAAGGATCAATGGATGGAATTGTGATCCAGAAATAGTTATTGCAGTATGGAATCTGGTTCAACTGACGGGTTCAGATGATGCAAATGATATTAGTGGACTACTTTCTGATTTTATTTCAAGGGTCTGTTCCCAAGTATCTATATTGGAATATGCTGAAAGTATTGATCTTTCAACATGCTTTTCCTACTTCTTACATTGCTTATTTATTGTTTGTAGGTAGGTATTGGAGATCCCTATCAGATTGTTTTCCGTTTGCCTGAATATGACAATAAGACGCAACCTTGTTCCCCATCTTTCTTCATTAGTTCCAAGAAAATTGGGTTCTGTTCTGATGTTTTCATGACAGATGATCTTGTGATAAGCCTTCTACGACTTTTGAGCAAGAATCTTCTTGATGATTCTGTTAAAACTGTGGATATTACGTCACAAACACTTCAAGTAAGTTGTTTATTTCCAGTTGAGTTGAGATTTGATATGAAGCATATTTTAATTTTTCTTTTATAGTATGAAATCAATCTTTATTGTATGAATTGTTATTTGTTTGTAGTGTTTTTCAGAGGCAGGTGTGCTTTTTCCTATGTTTCTTTACTGTATTTTTGTAAATGCGGCATCTGGACTTTTGCTAAAAAATGGAACTTTAGGTGGTTATGTTTCTACATTTAACAACTTGTACTTATTTATTTGTTTATGTTTTCATATCAGATAAAAAAATAGGGTTTCATTACAAAAGTTGCATGCATGCTTCAGATTTATTGAGTGGAAATGATTCTTTACAACAGGAAAATTCAAATGTTGCTGGCCCTCTTGCATAATTGTTGTTTAGGGTGCCGATCTAGGTCTATTATCTTTACCATGCATTTTTTTAGAGAATTTCCAAGTAGCAGCAGTAAAAGAGTGGATTAATATATATATATATAGGCGTAAGTCTCAAGGCGTTTTGAGGCGTAAGCCTCAAAATCAAAAGATTGCATAAATATAAAATGATAAATTTTTTATATACTAATGAGTGAATAATATAAACATAAAAAAGCATAAGATATGAAGTGAAATCAAAATATCCCAATAATAAGACAACATGAAATATAGTTCAACTCAAAATTCTATCTTTCCCAAATCCCTGTATTCTTTTCATTAACATATAATTCAAATTTCCAAAAATAAATAGCAATGACATATCACATAAGAACTCATAAGTCATTAGCGCTATCATTACTAAGGGTTCTTCATTTGAATCATCATTATGATGAACTGCTCTCTCCCCTTCCTCCTCTCCTATAGAGTCCAATATCGGGCATTTACTATAAGATTTATGTAAGTTTTAATATATATAGCGTGAGGCGAGGCGGGCCTAAAGGCGGGTTTCAACCAAGTTGAGGCGCAAGCCTCATAAAAAAAACTTGAGGTGCAAGCATCGAGGTGTTTTTGACTGGAATTGAGCAAAGGCGAGCCTCAAGGTGAGCTTCATATTGCGCAATTTTAAACCATGGTGGTGGGTATGCCTAGCAGTCCCCCATATGCTTTCTACAGGGAGTGGTGTTGGAATGATGCGAAAATACACCTTGAGTAGACTCAAAAGAACTGTAGTAAAATAACCACTTTGACTAAATTGAACAAGACTTGGGCATGAATAAAACTTACATGGAGCCTTGCAGCTCACCATTGAGCATAGGCAGGATCTCCTCGCCATGCTTCTAGATTCTTTCGAGCACTCCTAAGCAACTGAAAGCTCAAATGATTGTTAAAGTGAACTAAGGAGGTCCTTTATTTATAGATGGAAATACTCTCTAAGGGGTTTTCATGGAACAAAAAGCAAGATGGCCATAGGAAAGAAAGCAAATCTATGATGTTTTAAATTCATAATAAAGTCACAACATACATTCATCAAAATTGGATCTGCAAACTAACACATGAGTGTCACTATTTGGTAAAAAAAATTATTGTGACATTGATATGAGTCAGTTTGATGACTGAAATCAATTATTTTATGAATTTTATGTCATTATAACATAATGTCTTATTCTCAATTTAAATATAAGCTATTAAAACAATTAGTTAATAAATTAATTTGATATGAAACCTAAAATATATTAAAGCATTTTTCTTTGAAGCTACGTAAGCTCTTGTATTAAGAAAACTGCTTCTCAGCTTTCATATATATCTTTTTTTTTATAACTGTTGTTTTTCTAAACACCATAACTATTTCTTCTATTCCAGTGGAAGCATGCAGCAGAAATGTCTGCCAAACGGAGCCTAGATTTTTCCTTTTTTACTTGAGAAGTAGATACACAGTCTTTAGTTTATTTTGTTCATTAAAAGTTAATGATTTGTTTAACTTTAACACATATGTTCTAAAAAGTTGTTATGACAAGTTTGTGATGGCATGATTGGACTACTACTTTCTTTAATTGATGCGTTTCTATACAGAACCATTTCCTTTTTATCAGATTTCACTTCATATTGTCTCTTTAAGCAGGGTATTCTTTCAACTGAGAAAGGTCAATGTGCTTTACGAGCACTTAATTCGTATGAGTATTCATTGATACAAGTATGGCTCTATATATCCCTTTTTTACCTTTTTTTTGTCAAATTATATCATCAAAAGAATTATTACTGTATTTTATTGAAACAATTATATGATACATTTTATTTCAATATTAATATGCTTTTTTTCATGATTGTTCAGATTCACTCAAAAGGTGTTAACTTGGGCCTTGTAGAAAAATTACTTTTGGATTTTGAAAATAAATCTACTGGTAACTTTCTTTTTAAGCTTAAGAATATTTCTCTTCTATTTCTCCTTGAAACATAGACCTTAGCATGATTATTTTTGCAATTTTTGTTGTACAGTACCTCTACATAGACTAATGGAGCGAGGATATATGAGCTAGCATATTTTTTCCCCTTGGTAGTTGAAATGTGGAATGTCTCTTTACATATTAAAAGTTTACTGGATCTTGAATGATGTAATTGAGATTTCTATGCTATAGTGCTATGTTTACATGAGTCTTCAATTGTTAACAAGAAACTGCACCATTAGATAGTTATTTGCATATCTATTTTTATGATGAAAATTAATAAGTTGGGTTTTATTCTTGAGGTTTCTGATTTAAATTCAAGACGTTTCTAGCTTCTTTTTGTCATGCTCTTTTCTTTACTAGGGGACTTTACATATACTTGATGTGATGCAATGAGGAGTTACACAAGGATTTTAAAAAGAGAATTAAGTTTCAGCTCCACAAATTATTTAATCATGCATCAAAGTTAAGTCAATTATAAGTAAGTCGCGGTGTTCAATATGCTAGGCATAGAAACTACAACAAGAGAGCCAAGTCTTTTAAGCAATTGCAAAAGAAAACATAAAACAAAAGCTAGTAAATAAAAAAATCCCACGATTAATACCACGTTGTTCACACTTTGAGGCCTTTAGCACTCTCTTCCTACGAAGACTAAGTTGAACGGCGGAAGATTGTCCAAGCTAGCATGGAGGTTGCCACTAAGATGGAAGCGCCAATGAACGTGGCCGTGGGAGAAGATCTCGGAGGCGGAGGAGGCACGGTAGATCGACCTTCGATAAGCCAAGTGTAGACGGAGAAGTGTTCGTCGATTGATTCTATGAGCGTCGGCACGATGCGGGCCAAATATTCTTCGACGGTATCGTCGAAATCAAATCCGACGTCGAAGAATTGTGACCGGAGGATGTCGACCCTTCCGTTGTCGTCGTACTCAAAACCGTAATTCCATTCCGGTACGTCCATGCATTATTGGAGGGGATCCGAAAAGTCGCCGCAAGCAAGATCTTCTAAAGGAGGAAGGGGGAACGGCGGCTTGGCTAAGGGAGAGGGTAGGCCGGCGGTAGAGCAAGGAGGAGAGGGCGGGCTGGGCGTCGTTTGTAATGTTTTTAAAATTTCTTCTTTTTAGTTTAATTTGAAATGTAAGAGTTTGTTCTTCCTCATTTTTAGTCGCATCATTCGTGATTTAGTGGGTCGTCGTTCAGTATTATCACTCGTGTGGGCGAGGGGTATAGGCCCCCTATATTTCTTTCCCCCACCATATCCTCACATGTTTGCTATTTTGTTGCCGTATCTACCCTACTTATATGCTCACATGTTTGCTATCCCACCATGCTAGGATTCACTTGTAGCTCTTACCTTACGATTGCTCTTTTTTGAGGTCATTTGTGTGCTCACTCCCTACTCAAGCTCATGCGATTTTTTACGAAGTTGTACTTTTCGCTTGCCAAGAACCTCAGGACATGACAACTCCAAGTCTGCCATAATATCTATTATTTAAATTAATCCTCATATTATAATTTTTTTTCTCTCAAACAGTTTCATGGATTCATACTGCTAACTTATTGAGTTCAAATTCTTTTCCACCATCAGCGCCAATACAATAAGGTCAATGGTATCAAATATTACTTTTTTCAGGGGCTTTTTTTGTTCTTTATAATTTTCATGAGAAACTCCATTTTGACGCATCTCCTCTTGAAAACAATCCCAACATCAAGTTCTTAGTTATTTACTTGCCTTGAACAATCCATTGCCGCAATTGTTATGTTTTAGGATTCTGTTGAAATGATGTGTTATTTTCTAACTCCACACTCTTAAAAAAAAAAAAAAAATCTCAAATGCCTAAACCCTATGAAATGGTTTTTTTTTTTAATTAAATGTTATGTGGATTTAGGAGCATTATATCACACTTAGGGAAATGGGAGAAGTAACTTAAAGTACCACGGCTTTTGTATTGATTTAACTATTGGATAAAAACAGATTGACGAATTCCTTGTCACCGAAGTTATATTTGGATCATTTCTTCTGTAAGGCATCTAATGTCACCTTTTCCCTTCCATCTTGATGACATCTCCCCCATTCTTGTTCTTTATCTTGCTTAAACTATTTTTCCCCTTACGCTAATGATGGTTGTTTGGATATACTTATTTTCATATATTTTGCTCACACGATGAATTCTCTCTTTTTGTTAATTGATGTATTTTTGTGTTATTTTTGCTCTCAAAATTTTCATTGTCATGTTCTACTTACTCACTGACTAATGCTTCAGCCATTGTAAACTTTTATGAGATTACACCTTTTTTTTCTATCTTCCTTTTAGACATTGTCACCTATTCTTCCTCTAATAGCTTTTGTTTTATATGTTGCTGGGTTCCTATATGATTTGGAAGTTCATTTGGTAAATTCTAAGTACATAAAAGTGTCTCTTTTGTGAGGCTTCCTATATGCTATGAGTGAGAACCAAAATGTTGAAGTTTTGAAGCATTCTTTGATTTTGTTAATGAAAACAGACTATTGTGGCTAAGATCTAGTGTTGTGACTGCATGTGAAGCTATGCACTCTGAGTGCGAAATAATGTGAGTGAAAACTCTTTTTTAAGTGAGTTTGATTTTCCCATTATTTTACCCATGACATTTACTGTGATAATCACACTATCAACTATATTGCGAACTATCATATTTTCCATGAAAAATTTAAACATATTGAAGTTGACTTTTATTTCATAGATGGTATTTTGCTCTGTTTGGAACGTGGTGGATATCTTTACTAAAGATTTGGTCATTTACCACCATCATTTATGTAAGAAGGAAGATGTAACAATTATATATGCTTCAGTGTGGAGGGAGTGTTTGTGCATGATATATTAGGAAGAGTACAGATGACTGTCTGACTTAGGTGATATAATTTAATATGCTCATAATTGTTTATCTCCTAGTATGCACAACTTGGATCAATCAATGTAGAGAACTTATTACTTACAAATAATCAACTTACATTTTTTCATCAATTAATAATAAAATATACATTACGGACCTTTAATTAAAGAAATTGCATTAAAATGATAAGGCCAAATATTTCAACGAAGTTATATTCCTATTAAATTCTAACAAATGTTCCTAATTAATTTTAATATTATCCAAAAGAAGATTTTTGTTTTTTTTAATATTATCCAAAAGAAGATGATTGAATCTAATAAAATAATTAAATTAAAAATAGACGAATTTAAGTGATAAATATAAATAGGCATAAAAATACATGAAAGCGGGCTCAAATTAAATCTATTATGGCATGATTTGATTCCTTGTAATTAATGTATGGCCAATTTAGTTTTTGCAGGATGACTTGGCTTTTATGAGTGGCCCGTACTGCATTAACTTCTTGGCAATTTATATTACTTTGAAATTTTTTCATTTGATAAATTTACTATGTTAACCATGATTTTCTTACCCATATTTTATGACAGTTGGAATGACGTTGGATGATTCTTCACTTTGGACTACTGAAGCTAAAACTTACGAAATGTGGATCTGCTCGGTTGTTCACAAACTTGTGGTTCACTGTGACGATGTCATATTAAGGCAATTTTACAAATATTTTTCCATTTCTTTCTTAATGTGTTTTATTTAGTTTCTGATGGTTCTTAGACTGCATTTGATTTCAGACTTTGTCAAGAGATGATTTTGTTGAAAGCTGATGTTGCTGAGCTGTTGTTTCCTAGTGTGCTTGTGAATCTTGCTTGGAAGAGTGATACCAATATTGACATGTGCCATTTGATATCTATAAAGGTTCAAAGAATGATTTGATGGCGCTAAATGGTTAAAAAGATTCACCTTTTATAATTTTGTCTGCATTATTTGTCTTGCAGGTTCAAGAAAACATCTTTGTTGAGTCTAATGGATTAGCTAAGACTATTCAGGTTTTTCTGGATGCAATGAATAGGCTACGGTCAATTTATGTGACTGAGCAAGCTGCATCCAGCTTTGCTGCAGCGAAGGTACCGCTTTAGATTTGATCTTTTAGAAAAATATTTTGTAAATCTATTAAAACAATATATATTGTAGCTAACCTGGCCTCTTTATGCTTCGGTTTTTGGGTTGGTTGGTTTGATATGCTCAGCCTGGTTGGCAAGAGGTGACATTTTATTTTGTAATTATAAACTTTGCTGTTGACTAACTCGATTAACTCCAAGAGGTATTTTCTTTGACACCCACCTATTGTGAAATATCTTTTGAATAACAAGTAAAGACTTGGATGTAATATTTCTCCAGATTTTGGAACTATGGGAGCTTTGCTTGTGATGTAGAACGAGTATGGGCTTGAAGCTTCAGGGCAGCGATTTGAAGACCTTCCGGAGGTCAGTTAGTCACTTCTTGTGGCTGACGTCCTCTATGACAGTCACTAGAAACCCAAGACAGCAGTTAGAACCTTTGAGAATTTCTGGAAAGCGAATTGGGCTGTTCCGGCTGGCTGGATAGCAGTGTAATTGGTGACAAAGTTCTGGACAGCAAGGTTATTTGTTGTAAAGAAAATTCTGGACAGCTCCTGGAGGGGCTTAGGGCAGGGGAGCGGCTGGATTCCTTGGACTGGGAGCTCTGGACAGCAGTTCTCTTTGACCAGAAAATCTGGACTGCACCTTATAGATTAGCAGGTAGAGGAGAGAAGAGTTCTGGATCGAGAGATGTTGGTGTTTAGAGCTTGGAAAACTATAGAGGGGACGGTGGCTTGAATGGGGGCTAGGGTAAAGGGATGGAGAATTCAAAGCTTGCGTAATCAAGATACTTAAATGATGGAAGAATATTTAATCATAGTCTACGTGAATTTCAAATAGCTTTGATTCAAATAACCTTCCTAAAATAGACCATGGCAGATTAGGGAAAATATTTCAATTTCAAACATAAAGAATTCAGATTTCCAGAACTTTCTTATTGAGGTGAAACCCAATAAGGAAAGTACTGAATTGTAATTTGGGATTTGGAGGGAAGGGGGGAAGAAAATTAGGAAGCCTTTAATGCCTCCTTAAAGTGGGAAATTAAATTAGGGAAGAAAGATATCATCCTAATTGAATTTAAATTCAAATAAGTAAGCATTTGGAAACTTCCAAACTTTCCTAAAATAACTCTCTTAATTTAGGAAAGAATTCAAACTCAAATAATTTCGAATTTGAATTTAAAACTTCCCAACTTAAGAGTAATTATTTAAGGAAAGTATTCAAGAGGAGTTGATTTGTGAAGGGGAGATGGGGGGAAAAGGCGGAATAGGACCGGCGGCTAAGAGGAGATGTGGAAAACTGGTGGGTGGAGGGAGGATTTTTTTTGAAGGCCGGCGGCTTGGGGTGGAGAGAGGGGAGGAGAAAAGGATTTAGGGAAAGAAAGATACAACCGTGAGCCCGAATACATCCTGCAGCTGACGGGTACTACGTTGCCCTTCACCAAGGGACTTCAGGCCACGAGCCCGGACACATCCTGCGGCTGGTGGAAGCTACGAATTCCTCTCATAGGAATTTCACCCAAGGTTCTTCCCAAAGAACATAAGTGCAAAACACAATTTTTTTATTATAATTCCATCCCTATTACAATAGCTTAAGGCCCTATATATAAGCCACAACATAAGAAAACTCAAAATACAAAATTGCCCCTTGGGCCACAACACCAACCTTGGGGTAAAACCGGAAATACATCAAATAAGAACTAAAATTCAGAAAAATAACTCATAATTGAAGATTTAAATTATAGCCGTCGATTTGCGACGCCTCCTGTGATAGATGCGCCAAATCTTAATACCGATGTCAGCATCAGATTGCTTAAGAATGTCTGCTTTTTTCAATTTCTGGGGATAGTCTAGTTATTTAAATCAGGTTAAGTAATTTAATAGTTGGCATAAACTGCTATATTTTCATGACATGGGTGTTTGTTGGCAATTGTTAGAGACCAATCTGAACCTATTTACAAGTGCCTTTCAGTAATTGTAGATACTCTACAGTTTCTTGGGAATTGTCAAGCAAAAGAAAAATGAAGGCATAAATTATGTCTGTTGTAACTTTCAGAGCGGTTCTTTGCCTTGTGTTACTTTCATGCTTGCTGATTTGCTTCATTACAAACATCATCCATTTCTGATTTGTTTCTTACGCTGAAGATAAATATTTGATCATTTTTTGGACCATAGTTTTCATTTACCACAATGCTTTACTTGTTGCAGTCCGACAGGACAACTGTTTCAAGGTCACGCTATCCACCTGAAAGGCTAAAAGGTCGCACATCAAATATATCATTATTAAATTCCTTATGGCACAAGGTTGGATCTCTTTTATTTGATCTGTTTATTTATGGATTTAGTTATTTTAATTGTTTAATATCTTTACTGCGATATTCAAGTCTTCTTCAGTCACGCTTACAGGTCTTCATGGCCTGCATTTAGTGAGCCTGAATAATTATTTGAAGAAAACATTATCTAATGGTTAATTTAATGAACAATTTAAGTATTGTTTTGTGAAAAGCTTGCATTGGGAAACAACATCATACGGGGCTAAGAAAAAGAGAACCTATAAAATTGTACAGCTAAAAACAGGAGAAGATATTTAAGTGGCTTGGTGAAATCTAGTTCCATATAGGATCTGATAGAGAGATGTTCCACTAGTTTGGAGATGATAGCAGTGCAAATATTTTTACTCAATGTTTATCTCTTAATTTTCTATGTAGTATTCTCTCCCTCTCTTTTCTCTTCTCTTAAGTTCCTCCGCTCTCTCTCTCTCTCTCTCTGAATTTTTACCTTTCCTTCAATGCAACAATACCAAATCAGTTAAAATGGTAGAATCAACAAAAACAAAAATGACAAAACAATATACTAAGAAAAATTTATTTTAGAACTTTTTTTTATCTTTCATTCTATCTTAAATTTGCCACTAGTTACATGAATAACACACCTTGTAGGATTTCATGTTCGGAATATGTTGCTGTTATCATGTCACTAGACAACGCAGCTCTTGCTTTTAGTTTAAAAGATGATTGATCACTTCTCTATACTCATTGATAATGATTTTGTTGGTCTCTATCTCTGACCATCACCTTCAACTAAACAGAGAGCTAACTATTTATTTATCTAGAATGATGGTCATCGTTGAACTTTTTCTTAGGCATTAACCCTACTTGACTCAATTTTGAATGCGGCATCAACCTTCAACAATCAGACTTTTTATTGTCTGCAACAAGGATGGTAGCAGGTCGCCTTTGGTTGACTTTCTCTTTGATAGCTCTCACTGCTTACTGCTTGCATGTCCTTCTCACCACGGTCACAAGAAACACCTATTCCAAGTTCATGAAATCCAAGAAATCCTATTTTCTTTGATCCTGCTAGTGTTGAGCTCTCTACCATATTTAACATTTCATCCCAACTCTATTTAAGAGGAAAAGAGGCAGTGAGATTAACATAAGGGAGAAAATTGGGTGAAATTTATTTTACTTGATTTTATGTATAATATTCATTAAAATAAATGAGACTGGGGTAGGTGATTATTGCTACTTGTGCCCATATATTAGAGCCCATCTAGTTCCTTAGCATGCCCAATAATCTTTATTGTTGTTCGATCATGCAATAAACAATTAGTAGAATAATAACATATTGCAATGCATGTTATGTTAGTTAGTTTTTGAATAGATAATTGATTCATAGAAAGTTTTGGTATGTAGAGAAGAGATAACAATGGAAAGAAAGATGTGAGTTTTATAGATCATTTTACGTTAAACAATTCCATGAATAGTGAATTTAAGTTGGACTTTTGGTTGTATAATTTAATTAGTAGCAAGATTATATATATATGTGTGCGCGCACGTGCATATCTTTATGAACTCTTTTAAAAAATATTTTGTTATTTTCATGTTGTCAAAAAATTGGAGAATACCAACAACATCAAGCCTTTATCCCATTACGTGTGGTTAGCTACATGAATCATTTTTCTCCATTGTCCTATTAAGAGTCAAATTTTTATTTAAATCTAATAAAGAAAGGTCATTTCTAATATTTTTAACCAAGTCTTTTTAGGTCTATCTCTACCTTTTTTTAACACAACTCAAATCTAATACATTTACTTTTCTAATTGGGTCATCGGAAGTCTGCCATTTTATGTGACCAAACCATCTAAGATGACTCTCCCCAATCTTATCTTCTAAACCTGTCAAAAAATTGGAGAATGAAAATTTTAAATAATCTTTTATCTTGTTATGCATTTTTTAGTGATATATCTTGAAAAGAATGTATTGAAACATTCCTGCAACCCTTATCAACATAGCTCAAGACACTTGAAACAACAAAGGGGATGTTTGTTATCTTGGACAATATAATCAGGATAAGCCTTAGCGTTAAAAATGAACTTCTTGGGGAAGAGTTAGGCACAAAAATAACGCGAGTGCATGGAATATTAACTCAGGAACAAATGGTCGGACGATAATCAAATTTGTTTCATTTAATTATTAAAACTATTCGACAAAATGTCATCCAAAAATTTTCAAAGATCTATTAATTATCCATCACAAGTTAAACATATATAAGTCAAGTCTACTGGAAATTTCAAAAACCAATGAACTGGAATCAAATGCGTAGGATCTTTACACATCTAGTTTCATTTGCTCCTCTACTTTAATGTACAAAATCTTTTCTTCTATCTTCCTTATAATCTATAAGAGTCTTACTTAAAAACAATTCATTTTAATGGGTTGTGTTTTAATCATTAAACTTAGTGACTAATTATAATTCTATGATGTAGCAATTTTAACTTGATGAAAAATAAAATTCTTATGAGTCCTAAGTATTCATTAAACATCTTTATGAGAATTTAAACATGTGTATTTATTTAGATAAATGCTTCTTTTTTCTTGAAATAGTTTTTTGTGCTATATTTATTAAATTATAAGTTTTAACATGGCACTTAATTCAAGAGCATCGTCTAAAATTTGCACTAATTAAGGCACATTCATTTTCATTTCTATTTCTTTTTCCAACTTTTTTCGTTTTATGTGCACGGGTACGTCGGTATTGACATGCATTTAACAAACATATATATATATATATATATATATATATATATATATATATATATATATATATATCA